CTGGCCATCTGCCCTGCAGCGCCCTGGCCATCCGAGCCGGCGGCCACCGCCAAGGCATAGGGCCGCCCGTTGAGGCGGCCCAGCGCCGCGTAGTAGGTCCGGTCGAAAAACTCCTTCCTCGTCAAAGGGTTGAGTTGGAATGAGTTGGAATGAACCCATGGTTTGAATGGACCAGGGCCAAACAGCTTCCTCAGAGAACTCGCGATCGCTGCGATAGGTAGGCAATGAGTTGGAATGAGCCTAGGTGCGTTCATAGAAAACAAGCGAAGATTTCCGCGGGGCGTTCTAACCTGAGGCCAAGAAGCAAGGGGTCGTTCCAAGAAGCAAGGGGTTATGTTTGAGACGCCCAACTGTCGTCCTTTTTGTGTCTGAAGAAGACTTGCGATCGGTGCGATAGGCAGGGAATAAGGGAATGAACCCAGGATGGTTTAAATGGACCATCTTGTAGCAAAAGTGCAACATTTAGATTCCTCAGAAAACAAGCGCAGGCGGCGTTTGATCCTGATGCTACGAACCAAGGGGTGATAACACATGGGCTCCCAAAATAGGAATCGGATCTTTGAAGCAAGGCGAAGTGTTCCTTTGGTTTCCCTTCAAAACCACTTCAACATGGGCTTTTCCGGCTGCTATCCTCAAACTACAAAAAACATGTTGATGGGTCTTGGGTTAGCCAAAACCAAAAAAAACACAAAACGACGAGGGCGCAAACCGACGAAGGGTGCTAGAGTTGGGAGTCTCGAGAAAACAAGCCCAACGGACGCGGGGAAAGGCGATCACCTCGTGCCACAGCAATGGCGAGTTTTCTGGTTGATCTTTCGATGGTTCAAGCAATTCTTTGCTCAGAGTACAAGAACAGTTATATTTGTTTCAGAAAGGATACCTTTGATTTTCCCAGCAAAAAGGCAACCTTCCTCCATGGTGGATTTTCGCAACTGGGTACAAGCTGTGCTGATTTTGGGGAAGGATCAGAGGCCTTCCCCATTTTGGCTGTCCGGATTTTGGCACCGAATGGCCTTGCAGTGCTGTGGATGATAGATGATGATAGGACTTCCATGGATTTCCCTTGTTCTCATGGGATGAGAGGCGACTCTGAAAGTCTCGGATGATCCGAGGCCAAGCTCCTCTCAGGAAGCGAGCTGCCAACATCTGAGCAACCCAAGCCGAGCAAAAAGATTCACATTTGTCCAGCCCCAAGACGTTCATTGCCGTCAGGGCACATCTCTCCCGACATTGTGGCAAGGTTCTCTGGAGCGCAGAACAGGAAGCCCTGCGCTGACAGCCTGGGTTTGACATTAGCGACCTGCCTGTGTCAAATAGGGAGACTCGCCCGCCTGCCGATCTTTTTTTCCCGTTGCTCGGATCCCATCAAACCAGCCAGAAAAGGGAAACCAGTGAGGGTACCCAGTTCTGTTGTCAACGGAACACTTGCCCCACATTTGGGGTACACAGGGAATACACACACGCACAACTCTGACTCTGTTCCACAAAGGTCTTTGGGGTGCGCAGAAAATACAGACTCTGTTCCCTAAAGGTCAAACCTGAGAAAAAAACACGATCCCCAGAGGACAGCTCCACTCAGCGCCTCTTTTCATTTCGCCAGGCCGCAGGTCATCTACCTGGGCGTCTCTGGCGCGGCGCAGGTCCACGTCGAAGTGCTCAACCTCCATGGTGCAGGCAGCGCTTCCTGAAGGCATCGGACAAGGGACCGCGCCTGAACTGCGCCCCTTGCAGACATCGCCCCTGGCGTTTTCGCCCCCCCAAAGAAATGAAAGCAACTCCGGTCGTGATAGATTCCCTTGAACACCAACTGGGGAACATAGACCTAATATGCTGAAAACAGAAGCATATGGGTGTCTTGGAATAAGGGAACAGACACCGGGTTTCCCTTTTGGTTTTCTTCAACACCACGCACCCCCAAAAGAAGCTCAAAAAAGAAAACAACATAGGCAGTGTGTGCTGATCAAATGTTTTTGGTCCCGTGGAACAATTTGAAGAAACGCAAACTGTTTTTGCAGTGGGTCTTCATTGTGTTTTGCGGCTCCGGAGTAGCCTGGGCTGTTCACAACGGAGTGGCCAGTCCGATTCTCCATAACCCCTATTGTACAACCACTACAAAGGGGACCAATTCATTAACCCAAGGAAAGGACCTTGTGGATTGCCCTTGAACAGGTAGCACCCTGTTTCAGGTATCCCTTGCTTTGGATTGGGAACTGGGGATTTGAACGGGTCGGCTTCTGTAAATGGCTTCCGCCCCTCCGGAAGCTTCGGCTCCGCTTCGGCTCCATTCGACTGGCGGTTCTTTAGCCAAGTCTTCGAGCGCCGGCGTACAGCGCCTCCGCCATCTGCCGTGCCATGCCGGTCCTGGAATGCCTCGGAGAGCGCGTGGGTCATGGGCGACCCTACTTCCCACCTTGGCGCCTGACAGGTTTCATGGCACCTGGCCCCTTTAAGGGCCAAAAGTCAATCTTCCAGGTACCTTATAGGTGCCTTCTGTGAGTGGCAGGAGGGGTTGTTATACAAGAGCTTGCTCCTATCCTGACTCAATCTGGATTGAAAGTACGCCACAACTCCCCTTTATATTATCTGGGTCTCTTTCCTGCCTGGCCCAAGTACTCTTTCCTGTCGACAGGCATATCCCCAGCGAGGGAGCGATTCCCATAGCTTCCCCTTGCGGAAACCGCAACATCACCCACCCCGTTATATAGAACAGGGCGTTGGGGTACTTTATGCCCAAATTTAGTCATGATGACACGGATAAGCTATCAGAACACGTTTTGACCCCTATACATGAACTGGGTCCCGTTCCTGCTTGCTGCCTTGCCCAAGTGCCCTTGTTGGTCGAAAGGCACATCATGTCACACTGAGCGGGGCGATTCACGGCTTTCCTTCACAAACCGCACCATCACCCTTTGGTCCCTCGCAACCACCCCGGCAATGCAGCAAGGTTGGAAAAGGCCTGTCCATACTCCCAACGTACCGCTACCAGCAAAGAATCCTGATTTCATTCGCAACCAGCAAGCCCGGGAAAATTGGGAGCCCCAAGTAAACCAATCATCGTACCAATGCAAATCACTGAGCGTTTCCGGTCCGTTGCGATATTCATACCATGAACTGAGAAATGAAACACGGGCAGGATGGGGTCTGTCTGCAAAAAAGCGCCAACATGCGCTGCTCTCTTTCTAGAACCCTTGGAGGTTAGACTCTTCTGGAGCTGGGAGTCACCCCGTCTCACGGTTTGGCCCGGGAAATCCCCACGAGTTACGTATTCCTTGCGACGCGCAACGCCGCTGATCTGATCCCAACCTGCCCCCTTTCACAGCCTTCAGCCTTAGGTTTCCTTCAGGTTCTGGCAACTCGCGCTTCCGTCCTTCACTGGGCATTGCCCGGAGTTGGCTCTTCTCTGTTTTCAGGGAGATCTTGGGGTTCAGTTCCTCCCGGGGAAAAAAACACACACACACAAACAAAAAAAAACAAACAAAACAAAAAACGAAAGGACGCTGAAGGCCAGTGAGCGGCCACACAATCAGCAGCCGCGGCGAATCCGCCAGCGCCGGCGCAGTCCGCGCCAGCAGGCCCGCCGGGTCAGAGTGTCGCACCCAGCTGCGGAGCATGGCAGTTGACACCCAAAAAGGGTTGTCTCTGCCTCAAAACCCCCTTCAAAACCAGCAAAAAAAAACCTGGCTGAGTTGTTGTCCTTTTTCAAAAGCCCGGAAAAGGCAACGACTCAATCAAGGGCACCACGGCCCCCCTTCTGGGGCCAACCGCTTCGTGGCCCCCTAAATGGGCTCCCACAAAAACGAGTTCCTCTGCACATTATATTGGGGGTTTCATGTTGTGCAACTACTTTACATGGGATGTACATGGGTTACAATTGTTGCCATGAACAATACATTCCTCAAGGAATTCTCGTTTAAGTTTGCACAGGTACATTTCTGTTTGGCACTATAGGATGCTCCATCATTTGTTCTGGCGTTCCTCGGGGGGTGATCCTTGCTCAAATTCAAGCGTATTTCAAACTCGGGACTGCGCCATATGGGAATGGTTCAAAACCAATGCTACCATTTTGGGATAGGTGCACCACCCATTTTAGTCTGTTCTAGTGGGGATTGGGATGTTCACTGGGGGATAACCGGGGTTTTGACACATGGCCATATGGTTCTTGGTTCGCTTCTCGCTGTGGGGGCTCGAGATGCGTTGCGTCAGCTGAGCGCACGACAGTCACAATGGAATTCAGGAAGGCATCAGAGGGGTATAGGCGGTGCAGGGTTACTCCAAAACTGAAGGCACCCATCAAGACATGCATTGGCAGCTCAACTAAGGGTGACCAAGCTATCTGTACATTTTTATCATGACTGAACCACCTGAACTACGGGACCCAAGTAAAGGACCTACATCACCTGGATCGGTGAGCTCGAAACTGTCCCCGATGAAGCATCGGCGGCTTTGAGCAAAGCCAACTATCCAAGGAAAACGCAGAGACACCAAACAAGCAGGGTTGCCCATTTTGGCGTCGCACCCTAGCCAAACCCAGGCGGGTTGTTTACTGCTCAGCATACAAGCGGGCGCTGTAAGTCACCCCACGTCGCGTTAAGTCACCCCAGCCAGCCCCAGCCGCTTGGAACTACGCATATCTGTTTAAGTCACCCCATGCGTTTTAAGTCACCCCATTTTTTGCAAAACACAATGGGCGCAGAACTGGAAGGGCGATGGTGCCAACCCCAAGAATTCACCGCGCACTGCACGCACATGCTCAAAACTCACTGGTTTGGGTTCATGTTGAATGCTTTTCCCGGGCAAAACCCTATTGGGCACACTGCAATTAAAGGGTTCCTATCCTTCAAACATAAATAGTGTTTTCTGTTGGTTTCCCCAAGGCCTGCATTCCTGAAACCAAGTAACCGGACCAACCAGCCAGCCCCCGGCCAGGGCTAAGCCAACCGGTTCCGGGCCGGAACGCCCGACAAAAGGGCTGCCGGCGCGAGTGCCGCGCGACTCTGCGCGAGTGCCGAGCGCCAGGTGAGCCGTGCCCTCATCCCAATGAAGATTGCTTCCGCTTGTGGCGCAACTTCAAGTGCTGCGGCACGAGAAGAGAGAACCACCCAGTGGCAGTGAACATACACGCATGCACACGGCACATGGAAGCCGACCAAATGTTGATGTTATGAGTCTGGGATCTCATGGGCACCCTTCTGTCAGTATACCTCGAGTAGAACATCATACATTTTGCATGCGCACAGCACAGAATTATGCGATTTCAGAAAATGACATGCTTGAGACAACTATCCTTACATCCACAACCACAACGGGCACACTCACCCGGGACGACTTAGATCAACCCGGGACGACTTGCAGCACTTACTCGGTAACTTTCACGTGGAACCCACAAACCATGCTTACAAGACTGTCCTTCTTGATCCTTTTTGAGTTCCGTGCTCATTGGCAGATGATCTAAACAAACCATCCCCTTGTCCACTCAGATCCCTTGGCAACCCCACCATCGGATCGGCCAAGCGACTTAGGACTTGGAGAAAAACTCTGCATGATTCACGTGGAACCCAAAAAGGGGGGGGGGGCAAAAGGAGATTCCTTCACAAGTGAGGGTTTCTTGGGGTGCCATGTAAATCTGCAGGGGAATACATGGCAATATCCGTTTGGGGGGAGCAACTAGCAGGGAGCCTCTTCCTTGCTCCCTCCCTGCTGCATCCAAAAATCACGGCGGTTTCATGTTCATATTCCATGCTAGGGAGGGTACAAGCACTGCCTACCCCGGTTAGAAAGGTAAACTGGAGCGCGCGGCTGAGCGGGGCGTCACCTTCGGCGCAATCTTTGGCCTTGAATCGGCGCTCTCTGAGAAAGCGAAACAAACTCAGGGGAACCCAAAAATATCCTTCTTTACACTTTTGTACGGTGGATGCCCGACAAGTTGTGAGTGGGGGATCAAAGGGAAACCGGTCATTTCCAGGTATTTCCCGGATTTTCGAAACCAACCGCCGTACCACCAGATTTGGCACTAGACCCCAGAAATCAATTCATGGACCGCTGAAGAGTTGCCTGGGGACAGTCATTCAACCCAGGATAAGCCTAGAATAAGCCCTTGAATCAAGGGCCTCATTAAGGAGTTAACAAGTCATGGGCACCCCGAATGGGGTTCTATCATCAAACCCGAGCTAGCATGTTACATTTTACGCTGGTGAGTTGTACTACAACATCTGTGTCTTAGCCATCAGTTCGCCAGGCCGAGCCCGACCAAGGTATGGTTCTTCTCTCCCAACATGGAAGCTGACAGGTCCCTTGGGCCTGCCAGCTTGCGAAGGCGTGCTGTTGGGAGGGAGGCTATGAGTGAAGGGCCTTCTGTTGTGAGAACATCATCGGATCATCTCCACTTGATGCCTGGAGGCTTCAAACATTCGGGCAGAACCCCAAAGAATCGACCTTCACAAGGGTAGACACACAGACGGCTTGGTTGAGGTTGGTTGCAATAAAGAAACACCGAAGCTGCCAAGTGTTGTAACGATATCAAAAGCCGTGTTTTCTCCGATTTCTGCTTGGGGAGCGTACAACCCAACACGCCCCCCTACAAAAAGTTGACCTTCTGCTGGTTGAAAGGAACATGGTAAGCTTGCTTGTGTCTCATTCGGCCTGTTTCGCCCCCCCCCCCCCCTAAACTGGGGCACCGGCTCATAGCGAGCAGCCTGCAATCCAAAGCCCAAACTCAAAGAACTTCGCAATGTGGGTTTCTGACAGGATGTCCAGAAAGAAGCCATTCACTTTCTGGACTGGACAAATAATAACAATTCACCGATATGACGTAGAAGACCCCCCAGGAATCTGCACGGGTGATGTTGCAAACCATAGCGCCATGCTCGTGCGACAACAAGGCAAACAGGAAGACCGAGCCATTGAATTGGGAAAACCTGCTATTGAACGAGCCTTGGGCCGCTTTGCTGGATGGGATTTACGCCCACCCATTTTCTGAGGGTGTTCCAACCATTGAATACTCACAAGTGTCTTGCCAAGTGGGGTTTTTCAAGTCCTGCTTTGATTGGTTCAAAACGAAGCGGCCTCTCCTTTCCGCCAAGCCTCTTTGGGTCTGCCAAAAGTGGCCACAATCGTCGTCACTCCTGTGGCTCATAGTTGTCATAGTGGCTCAGTGGCCCGAAGTCTCAAAGATCAAGCTCCTCTTGAAACCCTCAGGCGCCGCGGGGATTTTGTCAGATTATGGGATTCTTCCGTGCCTGCCTCAGAGGTCCGCACTTCCGGGCGTGGTCCTCCGTTGCGCGGCGGTTGGGGACCCCAAGCCTGTCAGAACCGAACCCGTGAATGGAGGATCTGCTTCTGGTTCTTCAAGCCCCAGCAAGAGAGTTGGTGCTCAGGCAAGCAGGGTGGAAATGAGTGAACCGTTTTCCCTGAAACCTCAGGGATGGTTTGGGCTCCTTCCCTTCCCTGAGCACCAGCAAGAAGAAAGGGGGACTCGATGTTCGAAGACCACTTTTGGCTGTGAATCAGACCACTCAAACTCAAGTTGCTGGCGTTGCCCACGGGTTCCGGACCCGCCATGCTGTATGCATTTTGCTTGAAATGAACCAGGGCCAGGCTTCCATAAGTAAGGCTGCCACGCTGATTCCGAGTCTGAAATCTGAGAGTACCGGCAGGCTGTCTCCGAGCCCTGCAAAAACAACTGAGAGGATCCCTCAAAGAAAGTCCGAGCTCATTCTCAGATCAGCCTGGTCTCCCTAAAAAGCCTGAAGCTCGACTTTGTGAAGTGAGACAAGTAGTAACACAACGGTTCTGGAAAACGAGCCCTTTCTAGGATACGACTTGGTACCACCAAGAATAACCACCATGCACAACTACTATTTCATCTGAAAGCAACCCGTCCTCTCGCGGTCTCGGGTGGTATGTCCTGTGGCAAAAGTGAAACACGGGCTTTGCGTGGGTCGTTTTTGTGGAATTGGCACCGTCTTTGTGCAGGGAAGCCAAAGGAGAAGCGAAGCCCTTGTTGGGGGTTGCCACATTTTCACACAAGCACAGTTGGCCGTGGGTCGACACCAATGGTACCATCGTGGGGTAGGTGCACCACCCATTTTTGTCTATCTTAGTGGGGATTGTCATGTTCACTAAAAGTACGATTTGGGCTTTGACCCTTGGCCATTTGGGAGGAAAAACAACAAGTTGCAGCCTCTGGTGTATTTCGATGCTTTCCCGGTCAAGTATGCCCACGTAAAACCCATGAAGCTGTCTCACCAAATCACCCCAAACGACCCTGGGGAACAGAGAAGAATCATTTCTCCCATATGCTGCTTCTCGCATCCCGAAACGGGGCCACCGCTTCCAAAGACCTGGGAACTTCTGGCAGAAGATCCCAGCTGGAGCATTTTAAAACTCACCATGCCTCACGGCAGGGGTGTATCAGCTTGAAGACTCATAGGTTGCAACTATCGAGCAACAGCGCGCTTTGGACAGAAGCATGCGTGGCCATTGAAGATGCATCACTGCATCACACTCTCTCTCTCTCTCTCTCTCTCTTTCCCTCCCTCCCTCCCTCTCTCTCTCTCTCTCTCTCTGTCTCTCTCTCTCTCTCTTTCTCGCTCTCTCCTCTCTCTCTCTCTCTCTCTTTCTCTTCCTCTCTGTCCGTCTGTGTCTCTGTGTCTGTG